TCCGAGTGTAACCCATGGGCCAGCCTCGGAACGGGGAGACTACCCTTTTGGGAAAAGCCTTGAATCCTGGCAGCGGTGGTGGGGAGTGGCCTGCACTCAGCTCATGACCCTCTCCCCAGCCACTGCTTAATCAATCTGCTGGCTCGACCTTTCACCTCCAGGGGACTTAACCTCATCTCTCTCCCAGTCCAGGGCCCCAGGACAATTTGGCAGGACCACATATCACTCTCGCGGGAGCCCCCAGGCCTCTGAGGTCCACCTGTCTGTACCACATGCACGATGAGAAACATGCTTTACACCTCACCCCGGCAGAACCAGAACAACATTCCTGCTACCCCCGATGTGGTCTGGAATTTTCTATTCTATTCTAGCCTTGTTTATTTTTGTTGTTGTTGTTGAAGTGTAGCTGATTTACAATGTTGTGTTAATTTCTGCCGTAGAGCAAAGTGATTCAGTTATACATACATACATATATATCCTTGTTCATATTCTTTTCCATTATGGTTTATCACAGGATATCGAATATAGTTCCCTGTGCTATACATTAGGACCTTGTTGTTTATCCATTCTATATGTGATAGTTTGCATCTGTTAATCCCAAACTCCCAGTCCATCCCTCTTCAACCCCCGTGCTTGGCAACCACAAGTCTGTTCTCTATGTCTGTGAGTCTGTTTCCGCTTTGCAGATAAGTTCATTTGTGTCGTATTTTCGATCCCACATATAAGTAATATCATATGGTATTTGTCTCTCTTTCTGACTGACTTCACTTAGTTGGATAATCTCTAGGTCCATCCACGTTGCTGCAAATGGCATTATTCCATTCTTTTTTATGGCTGAGTAGTATTCCATTGTATATATGTACTACATCTTCTTTGGGTTTTTTTTTTTGTTTTTTTGTTTGTTTGTTTTTTTGCGGTACGTGGGCCTCTCACTGCTGTGGCCTCTCCCATTGCGGAGCACAGGCTCAGTGGCCATGGCTCACCGGCCCAGCCGCTCCGCAGCATGTGGGATCTTCCCAGACCGGGGCACGAACCCATGTCCCCTGCATCGGCAGGCGGACTCTCAACCACTGCGCCACCAGGGAAGCCCGCTACATCTTCTTTATCCATTCCTCTGTTGGTAGACATTTAGGTTGCTTCCACGTCTTGGCTATTGTGAATAGTGCTGCTGTGAACATATGGGTACGTGTGTCTTTTTGACTTAAAGTTTTCTCCAGATATATGCCCAGGAGTGGGATTGCTGGATCATATGGTAGCTCTATTTTTACTTTTTTGAGGAACCTCCACACTGTTTTCCATAATGGCTGCACCAATTTACACTCCCACCAACAGTAGACTTGTTTTTTGTTTTTGTTTTTTTGCGGTACACGGGCCTCTCACTGTTGTGGCCTCTCCCGTTGTGGAGCACAGGCTCTGGACGCACAGGCTCAGCGGCCATGGCTCACAGGCCCAGCCGCTCCACGGCATGTGGGATCTTCCCAGACCGGGGCACGAACCTGTGTCCCCTGCATCGGCAGGCGGACTCCCAACCACTGCGCCACCAGGGAAGCCGTAGACTTGTTTATTGATTCTACAATTCATTATCCCAGTGTTCCAAAAATATGTTCCCGGAAGTTAACATTTTCTTATTGATAACCCCTCCTTTTTGTCATGACTTTTTTCATTTGCTCAGTCAATAAATATAAATGTTATTTACACTAAAGAAAGAGTCCTTTACCCCAAAGAGATACTCTGAGAACCACCTAGTTCTCAGAAGTCTAATTTATCAGAGATTCTGAACTAGGGTGCTCCAACTTTGCAACTCATCGGAGCCACCTGGAGGGTTTTAACCCTCCCAATGTGCAGGTCACAGCCTGACCAATTAAGTCAGAACCCAGGGGTGCGGTAGGTGGGGCAGGAGGACTGGTTGTTTCTAAGGGTGATTCCAGCGCCCAAGGCAATAGGAAAAAATATTGTTCTCACAATAACTGGGTCTGGGTGGAGCCTGAGACTCTGCATTTCTACAAGCTTGCAGGTGATACTGCTCATCCAGGGACCCCACTTGGAACATCAAGTTTTAAGCCCTGGCTGAACACAATAATTACCTGGGGAGCTTTTAGACCCCATCCCAGGGGAATTGAACGTGAGCTTCTGGGTCCCAGAGGCAGCATTCCATATTTTCCTGAAACTGTGCCCTTGATTCTAATGTGCTTGGGCCAAGGGGTGCAAACACCTGGCTTTGAATCCCACAGCCGCGGGGCCGTGGATGAGTTCCTTTGTTCTCTGAGCCTCACTTTCCCTATCTGTAAAATAGGGATGGTGTGTGTGTCCTGGGGCCCTTGAATGGGACTTAGACTTGGCCAGGTGGTCTGATGGGCAGGTGACACCCAACTTTTATTCACCTGGGCTGAGAAGCATCCTGAGAGAACGCAGTTCTTACAGAATCTGGAGTTCTTTCTGGAGAGGGAGAGAGAGAGAAATCAGTGAAACAGGTGGGCCACTCTGGGACTGGGCCCGTCGGCCACGTGGAGAGGGTCCTTGTCCCCATAGCATCCTTGGGGATCCTGCCAGGTTCTACCCCCTGGCAGTACCCCAGGGCCTTGCCATCCAGGAAGAAACTGGTCTGATGGACAATCCGTTCCTTCCGAGCTTTGGAATCAAAAGACTTAGGCTCAAACCCCAGCCCTGCTGTGTGACCTTGGGCAAGTGACTTAACCTCTCTGGGCTCTCTTCTTCATCTGTGTAAAATAGGAGTGATAAGGATCCCTCTAAGGTCATTGTGAGGTAAAAAGAGGCATTATGCGCACATGATAAATATTATTATTTTGATTTGTGCTGGCTTGAGTGAAATAGGTGTTAAGGAATAGGTAGGATTGTGAGGTCAGGTTGGAAAATGGAGAAATTAAAAGGAAAAATATTTTCAACTTTTCAGAAAACATCTAAATGCTCCCGATGGAAATCTGTTTTTCAGCTGTGACAGCACCGCCCCCAGGCTTCCAGTCTCAGCAGAAAAGGGCTGCTTTCTGGAGCTGTGTGCCCTAAAAACAGCGCCCAGGGTGGTCAGAGCCCACACGGGCCAAGGGCCTCCGGGAAGCCGGGCTCAATCCAGTCTGACCAGACCTGGGGTGTTTGCCTGGGTGCTCAGGATTGTCTCGACATGGCCTGGCCGTGTCCGAGCGTGCGAGACTCCCCTGTGGGGCCTGACGGCCCCGCTTTGCAGTGGGCTGGGCCACACGTTGGCGCCAGGACTGGGAGGATGACGAAGTGCTGAAATCTGCCCGAGACGGAGTAGTATCAGATGGTGTGGCTGCCAGCTCCACGCTCCACGCTCAGCGAGCGCATCCTTGGCGACCGACGGGGAGACAGGAGGGCAGGGCTGACAGTTATCAGCCGGGGAGCTGGCCAGACATGGCCCAGGGGCTGAGCTAGCGTGGGTGGTAGAAAGCAGCACTGGACTGGGAGGAAGGCCCCTGATTCTGTCCGTGTCACTGACCAGGTGATGAGAGAATCGGCCGCGCAGTGAAGAGTGGAGGCCCTGATGTCACATGCGTGTGTGGGCCCTGCTGCACCCTGCCTCGGATGCATGGATGCAGATAGATGATGGGTTAGACAGATGGATGAATAAACAGGCAATAGAGACAGAGATATATGTAGATGATAGACAGATAGAAGATAGATAGATAAATGATTGATAGACAGATAGAAGATAGATACATAGATAGGTGACTGATAGATAGATAGAAGATAGATAATATAGAGAGATGGTAGATACATAGATGATAGATAGATAGATAGAGAGATGGTAGATACATAGATGATAGATAGATAGATAGATAGATAGGTGATAGATAATAGACAGATAGATGATAGATATATAGATAGATGACAGATCATAGATAGATAGATGATAGAGATGGGTGGGTAGAAATGGATGACAGATAATATAGATAGATGTAGATATGGCAATTGGGAAGTTTTGAGCAGTTACTTGGTATCTGATTATTTTGAAGAATTATTGTTCATTTTTCAGGTGTGAAAATGGTCCTGTACGGAGAGTAGACCCATGGCCAGGCCTGGCTGGTCGAATTCCTGCATGAATTTTATGTATATATGCTGAAGAGAGAGCGGCTTCCACTTACCTCTTGGATCTCCAGGACCCAACAAATAGCAGGAAAGAGAAAAATAAAACAAGGTCACCGTGCAGCGCAGGTTTGCTGTCCGCCGGGCACTCACTCGGGGCAGAGAAACCGATGAACAAGGCAGGGGTTTGCGCTCGATGAGACTGAAAATTCCGTTCCTCAGTTACACCAGCCCCACTTCAGTGCTCTAAGAGCCACACGTGTCAACCACCTGGGACAGTGAGGTTCTGGAATGTTCCGTTGTAGCAGACCGTTCTTCTGGATGGCGCTGTGTTAGGGAGTGTGAGAATAGGTGCAGCTCTTGTGAGGGCAGCGAGCTAAGAGGTGTTGCCGCGCAAGGTGGGAGTGAGCAGGGCTGTGGGCAGCGGCGACGGTGGGCAGCTCTGCCCGGTGTGTGGGCGCCCCGGCTGCCATCCCGCTGGGAGCATGCAGGAGAGTCCCTGGGCTTCCAGGCCCCGCGTCCTGCGTGGAGAGGAGTGCTAGTCAGCTACTCCCTCCTACTCCTTCACCACGAAGGCAGCTTTTGTTAACCCGCCCGCCAGCATCTTACTGTTTATTGGCTTCCCGAGTTAGACTCACTGTGTCCAGGGCGGCTCCAGGTCTGCATCTGGCATTTCCTCTTCAAGTTTCAGTGCATGTCCCAGTGTCTCTCCCCAAATTTCCACCTTCAGCTGCCCCTATCCTTGTGCCCGGCGTGCAAAGCAGGCAAACTGTGCCACTGGTTCCCCTCTGGGGGCTGACAACGATGAACAGCCCGAGCCCCGCTCAATTCCAGCCCGTCACTCACCCTCCAGACCCGTCCCCCAAGCTGCCTGGACCAAGCCCTGGCCCCCACGGTCTGCTTCTGTCCAGGACTCCAGCTCCCAAATGACCTAAATCTACCCAAACCATTTTGTCGTTTTAGTACAGAGGACACCAAGGATGGCCCTTTCTACAATGAGCCACTGTGATGCTTGAGCTGAAATGGCTCTTCTGAAGCCGAGGTGGGTCCACTCGGGAGGAAGGGAGATTTTCTGCTCAGCGTGGACTCAATGCCCACATCCTGGGCTTCACGTCACTCTCACATCATTTGAGATTTGAGGTAGTTTTTTCTCTTGGCTAAATGTTTATTGTGGAATTGATGGAAGCTGCCTGTCTGCAATGACTTCTAAGGCGTATGGGCTCCAAATGGCTGTTGGTAAAAGATTTGTTGGGGACATGGAAGGTTTTGGACGATTCCGACTCTGTGGCTCAGTTTCTCCACTCGCCTGGCCGGCACGGGTCTGGAAGGAGTAATGTAAGTGTCAGCTGGGAGCTGTTGATGAAATAGATCAAACAAAGCCCCTGGGAAGGTTTGCCGGGGTCGGGAAGCAGAATGACTTTCGGTGGCTGGACACTGGGTGATGCAGGTGCGGCTGTAGAATCTGAGAGCGTGGTGCTGGGCAGCAGGTGGCCAGGGACCAGGAGCTCCAGCAGGTGGGCAGGGTGCCAGCCCAGCAGTAGGAGGACAGATGCCAGCGGCAGTGAGGTTTGGGTGCACCTTGCAGGGTCTTCTGTGATGCTGGATTCAGGGACAGGAGCCCAGAGCCTGGAAGGACTGAGAAAAGTCAAACAGAGCCCCAAGCCTGGGAAAGACAGAGCATCAGGCCAGGACGTGGGCTCATAGTAACAAGGCAGAAAGACACACGCTCAGTCAGGAACCCTGGTGGACCCATGGACACAGGGAAAAAGCTAAGAGCCCAGTCGCTGGAAATTGTTTGCCACAGAAAGATCCTGAAATGATTGTGGCTGCCAACTGAAGCCCCGCCAGGCTGCTTACAAACCCAGAAGTATACACGCCCCTGTGGGGCCCACACTCCTCCCTCATGGCACTGGATCACATTGGCTCTAGTCTCAGGCAGGAACTGCCCTCATGGAGGCAGAATGGCTGCCTGAGTACCAGGCTTGCATCCTATCTCCCTGAGCTACCCCAGTCAGAGAAATTTTTTGGTTGCCCAGTATATATAAAAGTTGTGTTTACACTACACCGTGGTCCATTAAGTGTACAGTAGCATCATGTCTCAAACACAACATTCATACCTTAATTTTTAAAAATTTGTTGCTAAAAAAGGCTAACCATGAACCTTCACCGAGCCATAGTAGTAACACCTACAGTCACTGATCACGAATCACCATAACAAATATAATAACAATGAAAACGTTTGAAATACTGTGAGAATTACCAAAATGTGACACAGAGACATGAAGTAAGCAAATGCTGTTGGAAAAATGGCGCCGATGGACTTGCCTGATGCAGGGTTGCCACAAACCAGCAACTTGTAAAAAACTGGAAGTGAGATAAAGCAAAGTGCAGTAAAACAAGGTGTGCCGGGACTTGCTTGGTGGCGCAGTGGTTAAGAATCCGCCTGCCAATGCAGGGGACACGTGTTCGAGCCCTGGTCCAGGAAGATCCCACATGCCGTGGAGCAACTAAGCCCGTGCGCCACAACTACTGAGCCTGTGCTGTAGAGCCTGCGAGCCGCAACTACTGAAGCCCACACACCTAGAGCCTGTGCTCTGCAACAAGAGAAGCCACCGCAACGAGAAGCCCGCGCACCACAACGAAGAGTAGCCCCTGCTCGCTGCAACTAGAGAAAGCCCACGTGCAGCAATGAAGACCCAGTGCAGCCAAAAATAAATAAATTTAAGACAAAACAAAACAAAACAAAACAAGGTGTGCCTATACTGAGCAGTCAAAACAACAAATGTCGATCTTGCCCTGGGGCCGGGCCACCCTGCAGTCTACTCCTCCAGTCTCTGGCGTGGTGGGGGACACTTGCTCACCTTCCTGTGATGTTAGGAGCACTCGCTGGGCATGTTTTGGGGCAGTGGACATGGATTCCCGCCTTGTGTACCACAGGGCTGGAAGACAGGGAGCTACACTTCTCCACAGACGAGAAGCTCTCACACAAGGTTTGGAAGGCAGAAGCCACCCATGTTTCTCTGGCAGCCGCGGAGGACGCATCTGGCAAATGCACGTTTTTGTAGCTGCCTCTGTGTTCCCTTGCCAGCCCCCTGCCCGGGCCCACAAGGCAGCCCTGTCAGCAAGGCCTTCCTGCAGTGTTCTGACCGCTGGGCAACAGCACCAGCCCGTCGAGGCTTTGAATTCCACTCACAGTGACAAACCTGCAAGCTGGATACAACCTCTCCTGACATCCCGCCGCCAGGCTCTCTGAAGGTTTGATTCCCTAATGCCCTACACCCAGTCACTTCCCTTTGAAATGCCTAGTATTGCTTCAGTTTTCCTAACAGGACCCTGACTGTAACAGTGAACTCTGGTGGAAAATTTTAAGAAGCTCTCATCTACCCAAACATCTCTTTTTCTGAGGAGAAAACAGTGGTCCATGGGGAAGACACTCTGTCACAGTCACCAGTTTGAAGACTCGCTCCTTGGATCCTCACAGCCCAGAACCGGGGCCACCAGCCACGTGGCTACTTAGATGTAAATGAGTTACAATTGAAGCAGATTTACAATGCGGCTCCTCACTTGCCGTCTCCACATTCTAAGTGCTTGGTGGCTACCATACGGGAGACCACGCACATGTATATTCTATTAGAGAGCACTCCCGTCGCTGCAGAAACTTCTGGACAGTGCTGTCCTAGGCAATCATCTGTAAATCTCTGCCCCTTTTGTAGAAGCACTAGAGGGGTGACTCCTTCCAAATCACTTGTGTTAAAAATGGAAAAACTGAAACCCACATTCAGATAGTGCCTCAAGATTTCCCAGGAGCCCGACAAGGCCAAATCTTACTTCCCTCCACTAATTTGAGTCATCTGGTGGTTCAAATCAAAAATGTTTATTTTCATGTCAAATACGACACTAATCCAGGAAACAATTTTCAGTCATTAAAAACACCACACAAACAAACAAACAAAAAAACCATTAAGAATGGTAAAAAGAAAAACAAATAAGTAGTTATTCTTATAAATAACCCATTAGCATTGATTTTTCAATGGATTCAACCAATTGCCTTTTAAATAATATGGTGCTTGGTTTCTTCTGATCATTATTATTCCCAAATCAAACCATGTTTTGTATCTGATTCAGATTCAAGATTCTAAGTAGGGCTTAATTCTTCCCTTTCGCTTTTTTTTTTTTTTTTTTTGGCCACACCGTGCAGCCCCTGGGGTCTTAGTTCCCCACCAGGGATTGAAGCCGTACCCCCTGCATTGTGAGCATGGAGTCTTAACCCTAAGTAGGACTTTAAATGGGATGTTGGCAACAATGTCTGTAAGAGCCGAGTGATGGAAACCAGGGTTCATTCTGTGAATCATGGCACACGTCTGTTTTCTACGATTTGGTCACTGGGGGATAAATCCCTTCCTGATAAAAGGATTTAACTGGGTAATTTTTTCAAATCACTGTGGGAGCATGTTTTCTTGGAAGGAACCATGAGTGTTTTGTATGTAGGAGTAGTTATTTCTTAGAAGACTTTTTCCTCTTTAAGCCTTTCTGGAACAGATGTCTAGGCTCGGACCACCTGGGAGTCCAGGGGATGCCCCACTGGCAGGCAGTGAAGAATACGATGGGACACGCGTCTGGGGTCCCTGAAATGGGAGTTTTGAAAAGAGCGAATAGAACCTTAAAGGAGAGCAATGTGCTTTTCCTCAACATAAGGTTTCCTCCCCCAAAACAGCGTCAGAGACTGTCGGAAGCTGGGCATCCTTCCAAAGGTTAGAGACGGGGCCAAAACATATCATTTTAGCCTTTTCGGATGGCCATTTCTGTCTCGGAAATGTTAAATACTGTCTCACCACGGTTGCCAAAGCCCATCCCTTGAGCACAGCCCGGCGGGTAAGCTTCTGGGGACCAGGGCTGAGAGGCGGAGAGGAGTGCTCACGTGCGTCAACTCCGAGCCGGCGGTGCAGCCAGCAGGGCTCGCTGGAGGCTCAGAGGTTCAGGAGAAGCGTGCTGGGTGGGAAAGGCCTGAGCAGCAGGCCTGTACTTGCCGGCTCACTGGTAAACGTATCTGCGGTCTCTTCCTGTCTTCAGTACTTACTGCGTTCCCTGCGTAGCGAATCCTGCCTCTCTTTCGAAGCGTCAGATGCTTGTCCACTGAGGGAGCTGAAGCGCTGCGCAAGTGCGTGGCAGAAGGGCGCCTGGCCGCGGAGGAGTTTCGAACTGAGCACGGCTCTTTCTCCAGCCTCTGGGGCAGCTTCCTGGCAGGGCCAGCGGCCACCTCTGCTGCACCAGAGGCTGCCAGTGCCCTGCCCTTGCGCCCTCACCCTGCCTGAACATCCAACGGCTTCCCAGAGCAATCTCCTGAGCCCTGCCTGAAGGCGCCCCTGGCCACAGCCCTCCTCTCCGAGCTCATATCAGGCCAACCCTTTCTATCTCTAAATGGTCACTCTGGCAACTCGTCTGAAATAGTGTTTGCTCACACCTCCTACCAACCCCAGGAGGCAAGCTATATGATTCCCACTTTCCAGCAGGGGTGGAGGAGAGGCTTAAGGAGGTGACTTGGCCAGGGTCACATAACCGGAAGACAACAGAGCTGTGGCATCGACCCAGGTCCCCCGGCTCCAGATGCAGCGCTCTGCTGCTCCACGCAAACCCCAGAGGGGGCGGACCCCTAGAACCTCGTGGGCCTTGTCACCGTGACCGACAACATATGGCCATGACGGAGTCAGGAGAGGGAACATTTATCTGTGCTTGTCCTACAGTCACACCAGCTGCCTTGTCCTCGGGCAGTGGCTGTACCATCTGAGTAGACACAACAAACTTTTAATAACTCTACACAACTCTAAACCAGAAGTATATTTTTACTCTTGTGAGTCAGCCATTTATTTGTCAATAATGGCCAGTAAAGGAAAAGGCCCAGCGGCCATTTATAAACAGACCGTAGACCCTAGAGACCTCCCAGGGGAACCGAACTGTCTAGAAATGCACTGGTCCCTGCAAACTGTTCCACAGGAACAGACAAGCCCTGGGAGCCGCCTGGGAAGTGGGTTGCAGGGGTGCCAGAGGCGGAGGAGATGTTCGCAGGAGGCAGCTTAGTGACCGCACGTGGGCCTCGGGCAGACCTGCAACCCAGCTCCACTTGGGACCCTTCGGGCAGAGTGATTAGCTCTGCTGGGCCCCAACTGCACCATCTGCGAAGTGGGCAAGATGATGCCAGCCTCTCAGGGCTTCGTGGAGATTAGAGGTCAGGTCCATAGCGGGCAGTGCTCGAACGTCACTCATGACGGTGAACCGGGTGCTGGCGGTGACTGGGAAGGGGGATTTGATCAGTATTCATTCTCCAAAAAGGAACCGCATTAGCTGAACACCTACTGCGTGCCAGCTGCTCACCACGTATTGGGAGAGGAAGACGTGTGTAAATGCAGCCCCTCTGCAAAGAGTAAGAAGTAGAGGAACAAGAGTTCTGTCTCACTGGGATGCTGTCCGGCGGGACAGAGCTCAAAGGGCACACAGCCCATGACCAAGCAATTTCTTTTCCTGAGTATATCCCCAGTTGAATCTAGGGCTGTGTTCTACAAGAAGGCATGTGCAAGAACACTCAGTTACTCCCAACACTCAAGAACTTCAAACAACCCAAGCTCCCACCAGCAGTAGAATGAAGAGGTCGTGGTTTCTTCCTCTAGGGGAATATTACACGGCAGTGAAAACGGACCAACCACTGCCACAAAAAACCACGTGGATGAGTCTCCATCATACACCGAGGGAAGGAAGGCAGACACAAGAGCACATGCTGTTTGAATCAATTTATACAACAGTCGAGAACAGATAAAACTAACTGATGGTGATGGAAGTCAAAAGGGCAGTTATCTCTAGGGTGGGGGGTATTGACTGGGAAAGGGCACAAGGGAACTTTCTGGGTGACAGAAATATTCCAAATCATAACCTGAGAGGTGATCAAAAGAGTGTCCACATGTCTAAAATTTTATGGATATTGTATATATATATATATATATATATATATTTTTTTTTTAAGAGTAAGATATAGTCATAAAAATATCAAGACTGGAACTAGAGAGAGCCCGCGTGCAGCAATGAAGACCCAACGCAGCCAAAAATAAATAAATTAAATATATATATATCAAGACTGGAAACTACCTAAGAGACCACCTTGTGATGCAAACTCAAAGGTCTACAAGGGCCAGGAAGATAATAAGGGTCACTGACATGGGCCAGGTGTAAGGCAACAGACACTAGGCTGCTGAGATTGCTACCAAGGATAAGATCTGTGAGATACAGTGTGTTTTAAAATATGTTTCTTTGAACCAAAGAAAACGGCCAAGCTCTCATGCCCCCAGCCATCGGCTGCAAGTCTGAGGCCTCTGTATGCAATCCTTCACTCCCCAGTCGGGAGCTCAGGGCCCCAGAGACACCCCTGGCACAGCTGAGTTGGTGGAAAGAGAGTGAGCTTCTTTCAAACACTGTGAAACAGGCAGCAGGCTGCGGTGCAGGGGCCCGGGCTGGGAAGTTAAAAGGTCCTGTTTCCATCCGAAAGAACTAAGACTCCTGGAGGAGGTCGCTTAACCTTGCTTAGTGCCTCCATTTCTTTATCAAATGGATGGTTCTTGAGTATCACCTGCTTGGCTATAGAAACTCCATCTTACATCTTTGCCATTCCACCGGGGTGCCCAGCTCATTGTAGGTGCTCAGCAAACATTGCTTGGTCAAATTAATCAATCAGTCAATCAGTCATTCTGGACCATATCAAAGGGACGTGATGAGAAAAAGAGGTAAATATGAAAATACTCGGTAAGGTTATCAAAATGCAAGGTGCTAGCTGGAAGTCTATCACAGGAAGCCAGCTGTTAGCAACAGTGGTGCTGAGGACGCTTGGATTCAGATACCTGGTCTAGGACTAGAACTTCTCCCTCTGAAGCAATTCAGGTTGGCCATCGCAAAGCGATTAGACCAGTCCCTAATCTGTTTGCAGACATCCTGTTTGTCCAATATGTGCTTTTAAATGTAATTTTACCAGATGTATTTCATTAGGACTCTTTTGGTTGAAAGTGACAAAAACACAACACACTCTGGCTTAAGTAAATTGGCTTAAGAGTTTTTCGGTTCCTCTAATCAAATATCTGGGGCAGAGGGAGCCTCAGGGACTCAAAGGCTGTTCTCCCCTCCCACCTCCGACATTTTCTCTTGTTTATTCCAAGAAAAAAGAAGCCACCAAACTGACATTCTCCTCCTTGATATAGTCGAATGGTGTGGGAGAGAACTGAAAAGGGGGAAACCTTCTCACTGGGTGACTTCCGGGTCAGCTCCATCCACCCACCAAAGGTGGGAACCACATCTGCAGGCACCTCCAGGCTCCCATCTTTCTCAGAGAAAGAGCACGTGCTTCTCCGCTCCAGTGAGGAAAAACCCCTGTGGTAGACTCTGATTGGCCCAACAGGAGTCACATGTCCGAAGCTGGGCCCAATCACTGTGGCCCAGAGGTGGAGTCTGATGCAGACGTAACTACTGGAGCAATCCTGGGCCGCCAGCCCCAATTATTTCTGGTCCTTCAGACAAGGATTTGTGGGGGTTTTTTTAGCCTCTACCCAACCACCTGCTTTTCTTCCTGTTATAGTTCCAGAAGGACGGTGAGTGAATGGGGGCATCAAGAAGAGAGGGTAAAGACTGTTGAAGAAGGGGGAGAGGAGAAGAGAGAAGAAACGGTGTCTGGAGGGGTGCGAAATAGACGATTAAATTATGCGTAATAATTATTGTTTACAAGGCATCACTTTCCTCATCTCTTTGTTCCTCCACCAGAACCCTGGGAGGTGAGGCCGGGGTTCGGGGCAGGGATTGCGTCCCACTCCACGGGGGAGACAGCCTGCAGGGAGGTGAAGTGGCTGCCTGCATTTGCTGGTTAGATCACGAAGAAGGGAAGGAAAAGGACCCAGAGTTTCTCGCTGCGTCCCCCAGATCTCCCTCTGCTCCTGCACTGCTTGCCAAACGTCAGCCAGCACCGGGAGTGTGAGGCTTTACCAAAGCACAGAGCACTGTTCCACGATGTCATTAACGTTTTCCTTTAAGTCGACCCTCGCCTTTTACTGTAAAAGTAAACTTTGAAGTATGGCTGACGATGGACAGTCCGTATCTCTTGATGTGTAGATTGTAAACAAATCAGGTACAAGAAAAGCAAAGCAATGCTGTTCAGCGCTAGCTAGATATTGTTACCTGGCCACGGCTCCACCCCCAGGCCTTCATCTGCCTTCCTTACGTGAGAAGATTGGCAGGTGTTAGAGGGAAGAAAGACCACGGCCCCACCGACTGAGACGCTCCTTGATGCCATCAAATGGCGCGGAGGAGAATGGAAAGGGGGAAAGCTTTCTCACTGGGTGACTCATGACGTGTTAACACTCAAAATCAAATTTGGAAAAGCATGCTTATTATGGTTGTGTGTTCATTTTCAGGATATCTCTGCTTTCTCCTGCGCCCTTATTCCTTCCGGGTCTTAGTACATAATGGAACAGGGTCCTGCCACTACAGCATTTGATGTCTTGTAACTGTGGCACCGAATAAGTAAAACAAAAGTGTACATGTGTGTGTGTGTTTGTGTGTGTTTGTGTGTGTGTGTGTGTGTGTGAGAGAGAGAGAGAGAGAGAGAGAGATGGGGGGAGTAATATTCAGAGAATGGAGTTAAATATAGGGCCAAAGGGGATATTTCAAGGTACAAAAAAGGAAATATTAAGCCTATCAAAATGTAAAATACTGTTCTACTGGAATTGACTCTGAAGTTTTTCAAAAACATAAACTTTAAGAAATTGCATTTTTAGGGGAAGAGAAACTTGTTAAATACAAGAATGTAACCAGAAAAATCCAAAATGTGGGAAATGCCACATGATAAATGACCTATTTCTTCAACAAATAAACTGCCAACAGAAAAAAAGAAGAGAGAAACCAAAGGACTAAAAGCCACCAAATGCATTGTATGGCTTCATTTAGATCCTGATTCAAAGAACCCAATTTTTATAACTTATGAGAAAATAGGGGGAAATTAATCAGGATTTTTATGACATTTAGGAATTTATTGCCAATTTGTGATCAGGGTATTGTGGACTTTTAAATTAAGAGTCTTTCCTTATGTTCTAGAGATATGGACAGAACTGTAGAAGAATGAAATGATAGAAAATCCAGGATTCATCTCAAAGTCAAGGTTGATACTGAGTTGATAAGGGCTGAAGCTTGGTGAGTAATACATGAGGACATTCTCTATTCTTGTATATGTTTTAAAGGTTCCATTATAAAAAGTTTAAAATAAATCAGGCTTTATAAACATGTAAGTAAGTCCCTCCTAAGTTATATTCTCCTAAAATGTGTGGAGCCCAGTCCTCAAAAACACCTTCCAGGCTGCCCTTCTCTGGGCTGATAGAATCAAGGTGCTAAAGTAAAAGGATCCATCATTCTTGTCCCTCACCCAGCCAATGGCATGACTCCTGGACACAGAGGCGGTGGGACCCTGGTCCTGGCTTTAGGGGAGGGGGTCCTGACCAGTCTTCAAAGGAGGCAGGTTTTGCCCATTTCACAGCCCACTGAGAATTCACAGTTCTCTAATTGTGAACCAAACATGAACCTTTTTTCAGCTAGGGAGCTCATTTATGCTTGGCAAACGGCAACATCTCATTTCAAAGCCAGGAAGGGAGGACTTTAAAAGATTTAAAACCCAACTCCAAAAGCTCCTTGGACATCAAATAGCTTTTTTGAAACAAGGTTTTGATGAGTTAAGAGCAAATGAATCAGAAACATATGGATTAAATTCCCCTTAAAATCCACATGGGTTTAAAAAATGAAGGGGAATGGAGCTTGGCAAATATCTTTTTCAGTTTTATCAAACCCCAAGCATTTTGAAAACAGTGTGAGATGGTTGGCAAATCCAAAATGCAGCTGAATTCATCCAATGCTAACAGCACATCTTGGGAAAGGATCTGCTGAACAAGTTGGGGACGCCACGCCAGGGTGGCTGTTAGCTTCTCCTCCATCCAACGAGGACAGACCTCCCCTCCACACACCGGAAGGCTGTGAGCTGAAGCTCCGGCTAACGGTGCCATAAAGGGGTTCTGGTCTTTGTAGCCGCCGTTCTTCTTGATAACTGCCTTAAAGGAAATTAAGGGAAATTGCAAAAGACAGCATTTGCATTCTGTTCAGGTCCCCACCCCCAATCAGAGACTCCCTCCAAACCCACCCTGTAGCCATCTATGGGGAACCCAAAGGGCGCTCAGCAAAAGAAAGTAATGTAGTCACAGCTCTGTGTCCGAGATGGGGCCCCTCCCTCAGGCTCTGGACAGAAACCAAGCACGTGTTCTTTAAGTCCCTCTAGAGCGAGGCCTGTGGTCAGGCATGTACTCAGGGGTCCCCCTCTGCACTCAAATGTGGACACCCCAAGCGGGTGACAATGGAGCAGCCCTCAGCCAGCCCTGGAGGCACCTCCTTTTTGTTACAGGTGAGGAAACTGAGTGCTGAGGGCACAGGGCCCCCTGGGGTCACGTGTCAGGATACACAGCAGCAATGCAGGGGGGTGGGCGCCAAGCATCCCGATTCCCAGGCCACACACAGGCCGCATCTCAGATCACGTGTTGCACAACCAGAAAGCATTCTAGAGCACGACTAATGATGAGAATCCTTGTGGATGGAGTCCTGAGAGGGGTGCAAAAATGCATCGGTGGCCCCCATGTTCCTAGAATAAGCACCAGTTCTCGGCATGCACGTCAGTGCTATCTACGGGGTGGCGCCTAATCCATCACATTTACGGAGGACCCGCTAAAGAGGTGGATGGGAAGAGCGGTGCGAGAATGGACTCAGGGCCGGCCTGCATCCCACGTAGAGCCGTGCAATGCTGAGTTAGCTACCGAACCCCTCCGTGGCCCAGCTGGCTCGTCTATAAAACGAGGGTGCTCATAGCTCGCATCTGAGCGTGTGGTTGGAGGGACTGCATGAGTGTCTACACGAAGGCTGTCAGCGTTGGTCTAGCCCAGGGGACGCGTGCAGTCAGTGCCCACTGTTGTGGTTGTTACACTGAGCCAGTCCCTGCAGAAAAATGACCTCACCCCGCTCCATCCTCACCACCGCCCTGATGTCATTATCCCATTTGAGGGATGAGAAATCTGAGGCTCCAAGAGCCTGAATAACTTGCTAACAAGGAGCAAAGCCAGATTTCCAGTCCGGATAGGCCTGGTTCCCAGGCCATCTGGAACCCAGAAGGCGCCTCTCCTCCAAGATGCACGGGCTGGATGTTCAGCCTTAGCTCGGCCCCTCGGCCAGCTCTGAGCAGTGGACAAGCTGCGTGACCAGTCACCACTGGCCTGTCTGAATCCAAAGCCTCCCACTCCTGTTAGCCAAGGAGAGGCCGCCCCCGCCCTGACCTCCAGCGCAGAGGCCAAGCCCTGCTCTGTGTCCTCCCAGCTGGGTAACCGTGAGCAAGTTCGTTTACTGAGCCTCAATCTCCTCATCTGTAAAATGGGCCTGTTGTTGGTACTTACATCACGAGGCTGGAAAAAATAAATGACAGAGGCCTCTGCTGCTCTCGCTTGGCAGAGTTCCCAGCACTTGCTAGCTGCCCGACAATTACGGAGGCTCCGGACTGTGTCGTCACCCACCCTCCAGCCTCCACCTCCACCTCCAGAAGGACAAGATGTCTCCATAACAGAGTCCTTCAAAGGCAGTTTCCCTTCTACAACCCAGCATCATGCCTCCCAGAACCTGTCTGGTGTCAAGGCACAAAAACACAACGAAATGCCGGGGCTGCGGTTGTCTGCGTGTCTCCACTGACGTTTTGGGGTTGGCCTTCATGGTCGTTTCGCTCGTGAACGTGCAGACGGCTGCATCTCATCACCTTCAAGATCCAGTACCGAACGAATCGCTACAATTCTAAGATGCCACCAAAGACGGGATCCTACAGGTGGCCCAGCGTGATGGGTAATGTGCTCAACCGTGGTTTTCCCATCTACAAAATGGAGCCACTAACACCTGCTTCGATGGGACAGTACCAGGAACACAGGAAGTGCTCAATAAGTGGTCTTCCCACCATGGGAGACTCTATTCCAATCCCCAGTCCAGTTTCACGCCAAGAGCCAAGAAAACCGTAAATCAAACCATAACCCATAGGCGCAGGGGCTGTGTCCATCCCCTGCGCTTTCTTAAGATGAAAAAAAGGCTTGCTTCGCTATGTCAGGATCACAGACCTCTTACGCTTTTAAAACCCAAAGAGGAGACTCAGGGCCTTTGAAGCCAACGTAAATACAACTGTTTAACAGCTTATTTTAACTATCCAATGGGAACCCAGTTGCTTAAATGGATTCACGTTGCCAGCAATCTCTTTTTGCGACATGGTATTTGTTAGAAATCAGGATTTTACTTAACTAAATGTCCTGCGGTCGCTCCGCTTTGTTTCTTAACAGGGCTGTCTTTATGTGAGTTTTCTTTGGCTTCCCAATAGAAGAGTAACAGATTCCTTTTGAAGTTTTTTATTGATGAATGAGCCGCTATAAATAACCCTCCGTGGCAGCCGCCCGATCTCTGAAGTTTACTCTGGAATAATAGTAGCAGAGGGAATGAAGGGCAGTTCACGGCAGCGTGTCATGAAATACTTTAATGGGCTTCATACTGTTTAACTTAATCTTTACAGATGTAAAAACAGAAATACAATTATTTTAACAACTATTATTACATATTGCTTTGCTAATGAAAACAAAGTCCTGGGAAGCACTCGGAGACACCGAAGGGATCCTCAGGAAGCTGTGCTGGGTGCTGGCGGGGATCCCCGCAATCTGGGGACAGACGGGGAGTCAGTGATGGAGATTCTTGATCCCCCCAAAGTCTCTTTGTGCCTTCCCCCTTGGCCACACGCAGCCACGCACACGCAAATACACACACGCACGTCCTAATCGTGTGGTCGTACAGAGTGCAGCTTCTTGGAGCTGATTTCAGGCTCGGCTCTACGGTATGAATTATGGGGCCCGTGGAGAATTTCTGTTGCTGGGAAAGACAACCGCTTGCTCTTAATGGAGCTCGAAGGGCTCTTCCTGTTTCTCACAGTCCCCAGCTGCCACTCCACCTCCTTGATCCTAGCCCTCCCCGCCCCCAGCCACACAACTCCAACTTCCAAGGAGCATCCTCTCGCCAGAGGGGACTGGGATACGCCTCACTCGCCAACCCATAAATCCAGAGGTCACGCCTGCAGCTTGAACGTTCTCCCTGCCCCTCTGGGAAGTCGCGGAGATTAAATATGGAACCCCTGGGTCTGGTGCACAGTGCTGTAAAGACCGCCCCCCTCTTTGATTCTTCGGGGAGGTCTTTGCCTACAGAGGCGCGTCCAGAGTCGAGACAGGCATTTTTCTCATGAGCTGCAGCCTAAGCCCCCCTGCCCTCCAGACTGGGAGCCGGGCGCCCCCATGGGACCCTCCACTATGTAACTCTGTGCCCTGGGGAATTCACTTCCCCTCCCTGCTCCTCGGTGGGGTCCTCGCCAGGAAAACCAGGAGATTGCCTGAATTCTGAACCCTTTGGGAAATGACAGGATTGGGCCGAGAGAAGTCAAAAAGATTTATTTTGAAAGCTCAGCTGGAGACTGTGGGTTGTATCCGTGGTGAGCAACAGACTTGCCCGCTACTCAGTGGCCCCTCTGGACTCTTGAAGCCTCCACCCCATAGTTGGGGTGGGGAGTGGACAGACCCTTGAGAACAAAATAGAGGGCAGCTCACTCCCATGGGGACAAAGCCAGGCTGGGGCCCCGGATGCCTGCCTAGCTCTACGCATGTTTACCCGTCTGATAAGCCCCACCACCCGCCCGTCCTGGGCTGAGTGAGTAAAGGAGTAGAGAACAGTCTGTATGGAAAGAAGCATCGGGAGCCGGACAAGTGCCTTCACATTATTGTCCTACAAATATTCACTGTCTGTTACACACCAAGCGCTGGGTCACAGCAAGCTGAGGGACGCCCACTCTGGCAGGAGAGTCAGGCATGGAAAAGGTGCAGTTCCGTTGACAGACATTTTTTGGACGCCTGCTAAGTAGCAGGCACTGGGCTGGACAGATAGGAAAAAAGGGGCAAAACAGAAAATGATGTAACCTTTGCCCTCATGGAGCACGTCGCATCGTGGGGAGGGACAGATGCGAAACTCATCACTGGGCAAATAATGACCTAATTGCAGTTGGGATAAGTAATCTGAAGAGCTGCAGAATTCTGTAAAAGTGTGTGAAAGGGCAACCAAAGAGAATCTGAAGCTGTGCCGTCCAGCGGGGCTGCGGCTAAGTACGTACGCATCGCTCTTGAGTTCCAGAAATGCGGCTCATCTCAATTAAGATGTGCCATTAGCGCAGGATACACACCGGATTTCCAAGACTTGGTGCCAAAAAGATGTAAAGCATGTCGATAATTTTTTATATTAAGTTCACACCGAAATGATAATGTCTTAGAGAGGTGGGGTTAAATAAAATAGATTCCCTAAAATGAACTTTACCTGTTTCCATTTTTCTTTTTTAAGGTGGCTACTAAAATTGTTAAGTTATTCTTTTTTTGGCTCACTGGCCTAGAAGATCCAAATATACATCCCTGATCAAGAAGCATTCTATGGCCCTTTAGCTTGAAAATCCCAGAGAGATGGGAAGGAGATGGAAATGTGTCTACGCCACTAGCTCTGTCCTTTGGGTGTGGAGATCTCACAAAGGGAATAGACAGGGTTTCTCAAACCTCAGGGCTATAGAGTCGGATAATCCTCCGTTGTGAGGGGCTGTTCTGTGCTTTGTAGGCTGTCCAGCAGCACCCCTCAACACCCTAGATGCCATTAGCACCCCTCCCCTGGTTATGACCACCCAGACTGTCTCCAGACATTGCCAACTGCCCCAGGGGGTAAGATTGCCCCCAGTTGAGAACCAGCCTACTAGACCAATGCTGGACCAGATGAGGTCAATAGTTATTCCACATTAGAATCACCAGGTGGTCATGCAACCCACCCAGGCCAGACACCCTAGCATCTCTGGGAGTGGAGTCTGGGAAGCACATTTTGTTAAGCTCCCTGAATGGTTCTGATGTGCAGACCTGACTGAGAACCTCATACAGGATGCTGCTTGACAGGCGGCGTTTTCCCTGCCTGCGTCCTTCACTTTAAGAGGTGAGGAGGTGTTTGCCCTGTAGGCCCACTACTTTCACACCCGGTCAGCTGATGCTGAAGGGCAGCTACGAGCTCTAAAGACAGGTATGCTCGGGTCTGTTACTTTGCCAAGGATTCGCTTTGCGACCTGGGGAGCGCACTAGTAAAATGCCACTGGTGAACTGGACACAGTAATCCCCAGCTCCCAGGTTCATTTCAAAATGAAAGAGATTGTGCACGTAAAGCCCTCAGGACAGAGCTTGACAGCTGCTTCAGAGCCGGAGAGCCTGAATCCAAACCCAGCTCTGCCGTGTATGGGTTACGAGACCTTGGGAAGTGACTAAGCCCTCTAAACCTGCTACCTCACCTGTTAAGGAGGGAAAACTACCGTCCCTAACTCGCAGGGCCTGGGGAAAAGTGAGTGAGTAATCGTACGTGCCAAGTATTATCCTTAGACCGGCCCCCAGCAGAGACTGAGCACTCAGCAAATACTAAAATGATGACTAGCCCCTCATAGGTCTTAGCACTTTTTGGGTAGCTTAAGTTTTTACTGCAAACTCTCGTTCAGTTACACAGAAAGAATTTGCAAGTAGCTCACAGGATCTTTGCAAAGTGGATTCCAAGCTGAGCTCCCAGGAGTGCATCCCTGCCAGTACTGCAGGGCTGGCCACCACGGAAGCGACCACCTCCAGTAGGATCCAAGGGCTTCAAATCCTGGGCGGCTCCCATGGCTCCAGGTCCCAGGACCACTCCCGTGGTCCGCAGCATCAAAGCAGGTACACTATGCCCTCCTCCCTACCCACCTGGCCCCCAAGGTCACACCTGTATGTCTGGTGGTGGGCCCCATCCTAGCACACAGAGACGAGTGGGGGTCCTTTCTTTTCTTCTTATATTTGAAAGACCGGCTTGAAAGAATGGGAATCTCTCGGGAAATGGAGAGTGCTGAAAAGATTTTGAGTAACCATAAATGTCAACAGCACATCGGCTGGTGCCTGTCAATTTGCTTTGCTAGTTTTCCCCACCTGAATATAAGCCCCTCGAGGACAGGACCAGGGTCTGGTCCACTTGTATGTGGCTAAGGTGTGTCGCACACCTGGCACTTAATGACTATCTGGTGGATGGAGAGTGACAAGCTGTTCTGATGACAGAGGCTCTTGGAACAAGTTCCTGATCATGGGAAAGCAAACTCTTTTACTCCTTTGTGCATATCCTTAAATGCATGTGCTTCCTTTACCCCAGGCTGAACGTGGGTGGAGATTTGTGAAACGCTAGCTTGTGCAGCGAAGATGTTGTGAAAGAGAGCCGGAGCTTTAGGAACAAATGGTCTGAATGTTTGACTCGGGTTCTCCCTGACTGTGTGTTATGCACTCACCCAGACTTGATGCCTCCTCCAACACGTTGGGAGACTCAAGGCAGCCTCACAGGGTTGCTGAAATGATCCAAAGCGGTGATGTGCTCAGTACCTTCTCCCCAGACGGTGTGCGAGGAGGCGGGGAGGCCGTGAGCCCTGATGAATGTCAGCAGCTGGGCTGCCTCATTCAACCCGAAACCCACTTCTCTGTTTCTTCTTGCCCAGAGGTTTTTCTGAATAATCCAGGCACTTGACCTTAAGCCTTCCCTTACTGATACCAAAACCACTGCTTCCCGACGCCAGCTGTACACTAGGATTATTGCGGGGGGTGGGGGAGGTCATCCTAAAACACCATCTGGGGCCGTGACCCGGCCGTCAGCATTTTTTTAAAGACCCCCTGGGGATTCCGGTGCTTAGCGCAGGTAGAGATCCACTCGTCCAAACAGACAGCAAAAGTCGAGTTCTCACTCAGCTCTACCCGTAACTGCTGGAAGCATGAAAACCAATAAAAGAATGGATCTTAGGTGCTGGCGTGGCTCCCCCGTGATGGGGAGGGAGGGGACAGCAAGGGTGCAGACTGGGTCTGTGGACCAGTGGTCATGTGGTGGAAGTCCCTGTCCCCATCCTTGGTCCCGACCTCATGGCAGGGGGTCAGAAAGAACCTCAGTGCTGGCCACGTGCTCCAGGACTAACTCTGAGCCTGACTAGCCAGGTGCCTTAGGACAAGACACCTGTCTCTCTGAGAGAGTGTGTGTGTGTGTACGTGTCTGTGCCCTTGTGTGTGTAAACAGAGATCATGGTGATGCCATAGGTGGTCAAATTTAAATGAGAAAAGGGCTATAAAATTTTTTGCACAAAATAAGTCTCTTTCACCTCCCTGTGCATTTCTTTGCACCTTCCCATGAATCTATAATTATTTCAAAATAAAAGGTGTTAATAAATAAATAAACAGATCTATTTTCACCTCATCTTTGTGTGGCCAGGCTGTCAGCAATTAAAGGATTGTGCCGTAAGAGGCCTTACAGCACCTCCCCGGCACTCTGCGTGTGCGAAAAAGCTCTATGGTGATGGTGGCAGCAGTGATGAAGTAGAGAACAATTTGTATATATACATACCGATCTAATATCAATGGTATATCTGTGGTTGATACAGATATATATATAGTCTAGGGGGGAAGTACCAACCATAATCTCTGGTGGTGGGATTATTACCGGTGGTCATGGGATCACACATTGGTTCTCTTTTTAGTACTCTTCTAAATATTCCACACTTCTTGCGTGAACACAAGAGGCAGCTCTACCCGAAGAAATAGAAATAGAAAACGGATGCTTTCGTTCACGGAGAGAAGCCGAGAGTCTATTTTGACCAAGTGGAAATTGAGTACAAATGTGGATAAATAAGAAGAAAGAGTAAGAGGTGAACAACCTGCTTTGCACGATTCCTTCACGCCCAGAGACCCGCCTGATGACGTTGGTACCTCGCTACGGTGGCTCGCAACCCTGGCTGCAGAGCAGACTCCCCTGAGGAGCTTATAGAAGCACGCCACCTGGTCCCACCAGAGGCCAACGGAATGGGAGCCCTTGGGAACAGGACACAAGCACCGGGAGGTCATCCTACAACAGAGGGGTGGGCACACGGCCCCCTGGGTTTGTTCTCACCCCGTGTGGAAGGCCAGTGAACCCCCGGAACAGACAGCAGAGACAAGAAATGAAACGCACTGGAAATAGATGTATTTCTCCTTAATCCCGTCTTCCTTATGTCACTGAGTGGCCCTTATTCAGATGCTGAGCTGTCCCTAGCCTGACAGTTTCTCCCATGCCCACCCCACCCCTGTCCTAGAGCCCCATGCCCAAGGAAGGGAAGGAGAAGCCACTCGCAGGGTGCTCCGGGCACCCGCAAGAGCCCAACGTGAATTATTCATCACCCCCACCTCACATCATGCTCTCAAGATGGAGCCTGCAGAGCCGACGCAAAGTCCAAAAATGTGGGAAAGTTTATTTATTTCTCTAAAACATTCCTGATTTGTAATGTGCTTTCTAAAAATGTTCTAGCTGACCCAGCCCCTGCTATATTTAGCCACAGCATTTAAAGAAATGTTCCTTACACTTTATAAGGCGGGCTATGAAACGCATGAATTTAGGAAAAGCTGCTCCCCAGTCTGGTCCCTTTGTCCCCGGGAGAGGGGTGGAGCCTCTCCTTGATCAACAGGCGTGGTCTTGGTGCTGGGGTGGGGGGAGGGCAGAAATGAAGAGTTTTATTCATTCCCAAGGCCTCTGAGTTCACTACGGCTGGACGGCCAGCCCCGGGAAGCTCCTTGTAAGCTCCTGGGCAAGGCGAAGAAACACCAAAGGACTCGCCCTCCTGGGCTCGTGAAAATCGCTCTCCTGTGGTTTCCTAGGATCCCCTGCTGCGTGTGGCGGCTTATTTTGCTTTTGGTTTTGTGTTCAAACGATTGGATCGTCTCAAGAGATATAACACTGCAAGGAAGAGATGAAAATGGCTGCCAGCCTGCCTGGGAGGAAGAGCTGAAGAAGTTTGCCCAGGAGGAGTTACGGGATGCGAGCCGCGTTGTGGGCTCACAAATGGGCTTGTAAAACAAGAGTGTTTAGATTAGAGGCTACGTCTATATACAGAGACAAGACCTCCCGTTGACCGAATGCCTCCCACATGCCAGATATTTTATGTGTATATATTAACTAATTTAATTCTGACAGCTGCCCGATGCAGAAGGCATCATGATTAGTCCCATTTTGCAGACGAGAACTGGGTCAGGTGCTGTCCTAGGAATTTACACCCATCATTAAATTTACTCCTTTCAGCAGCTTGATGAGGCAGTTACTAACGTTGCCCCCATTTGTACAGGTGAGAGAGTTAAGGCACAGAAGGGTTAAGTCATTTGCTGATGTCACACAGCAAGTCAGAGCAGAGCTGGGTTATTATTCTCTGTCTGGCGGGCTCACTCTTGACAAGGCTAACATACCCCTCCCCACCTTCACCTGAGCTTCAAATTACTGAATGGTAATGAGTCAATAAGACATTAATGAGAGGGGTTTTCCTCACTAGTAGGTGTGTCTAGAGAGACCTGTGGGACAGTAGAAGGTGACCACTACCTGGGAAAGAACTGTGGTCCCAGGATGCTGGGGAGACAGGACACGTGTCATATTCACCTTGCACAGTATGAGGACCTGAGTCAGGCTTTAAACTTGGTGTTGTCCAAGGTGACATGGTCTCGTGGACAGCAGGGCATCTTCCCCACTCTTCCCAGAGGGCCTGACCTCCGGCCGAGACACTTCCTTTGTGTCCCTTCCCTGGACTCCGGCTGGAGGACGCCCTCACCAGCGTGTGGGACACACATTCTGGAAGAGTAACACAGCATCAATTGCGCTCCTCGCACTAGCCAGGAAGGAGTCACTTTGTTTTAAATGCTCAGCAAATGGACACAAACTATGTACAGTCATCGCAGCCCCCAGCAACTCAGCAAGTGCTTTCCAGGCTCAGAGGTGAGAAGGCGGAGACTGTACGGCCAGGGCCAGGGCCCTCAAGAGCTAAATCCAGACTCTGCCCACCCAAGAGGCTCTCAGGCTAGGGTCTAGAACCACCTTCTCCCGGAAGCTTGCCAGACGGGAGAATCCAATCTCTGAGAATGCCAGATGCAGCCGCCGGTATTGTCCCAGACATCCTGGTCTTGGCCCTTGGACATCAACAGTGTGGTCCGGGCAGCTGCCACCAACTGGCCCCAGAGGCAGAACCCTCCACTGTGCTGGCCTTGCTCTGTTTGCCTCGGTCCCAGCCTGGTGCATTCTCTACCCCTCTCTGCCCCAGCAGGCTGAGCCCTGTGGACTGTATCACCTGGGCTCCCTGTAGGCTGGACTACTGTAGGCTGGACTCCTGGTGGGGTTTAGCCGATCAGAGGCATCAACGTGAGGCTGGAAGGCAGAAGAGGAGAGAAGTCGGGTCATTCTCCTCGGCTCCTGCCCGCGCCAGCACTGCGGTCACATCTACATTCACTCCACCTACTCCCCTGTAAGTAGTCCCTCCAACCAGGTCTTTTCCAGTGGTTCATCTAAGTAGGTTTCTGTTTCCTGCTGGAACCCTGGTTCACGCCAATGGGAAGAGGAGGTTGGGACTGAATCTTTGCCCCAGTGCCTACCCTTTGCCCCCCCCCATCACTGCCAGGGTGAATAAAGACACCTGAGTTGATAATGTCCCCCCAATCCCCAGTACTTAGGATAGGCCCTCCCACCTCCCTCTCTCCAGCCACCTTCCAGGGGAAGAAGTGAATTTTCCACTTGGTCTCATCTGCCCACCACAGTGTACACCCTGGGTTTGAATCCACATCTGGCCTATGAGCCACTTGTGTGGTTTTTCCAGGGCAGTTGGCAACTGGACGCCACTGGAAGAGACAGACCCTCCCAGTTGGGCCCAGGCCCCACCACTCCCTGTGGACCCCTCTAGGTCACTGTACAATCTATGGGATCTGTCTGACCCTGCAGAACCCCGAGTCTGGGGCGTCTGGATAAAGACAAGTGTAGACGAGAACTTGACACTTGGCTATTCAGGCATAAAAACTGCTTGAAATGTAGATAAAAAGAATTTTACTTTTCCAACAAACTCATGTTCTTCAATTTTAATAATAAACTTGGTTTATTATCATGGGTTTTTTTTGTTTTTTTTTTTGCAGTACGCGGGCCTCTCACTGTTGTGGCCTCTCCCATTGGGGAGCACAGGCTCCGGACGCGCAGGCTCAGTGGCCATGGCTCACGGGCCCAGCCGCTCCGCGGCATGTGGGATCTTCCCGGACCGGGGCACGAACCCGTGTCCCCTGCATCGGCAGGCGGACTCTCAACCACTGCGCCACCAGGGAAGCCTATCATGTGTATTTTTGACTCGATGGAACAACCCCTGCATCATGGAAGCAAGACCCCAGCCACCATGAAGATGGAAAGTACACCGAGTCGTGGCTCTCACGTGGGTGCAGCCTGGGCGGATGGGCTCTGGCCTTCAGCTGCAACAATAACATCACATGTGGCTAATTCATTAACCCACACATGCATAGATGCTGACCACTCTTCACGAAATGGTAGAGACCACGGGGTGGGCCTCTTTCCAGAGAGATGCGGCTGTATTGGAAAATGGCAAAACACATCCTGTTCCGATTCTGGAAAACCTTATGGGGCATGTAAGACCCAGGAGGCCATCAGCCTCCACAAGAGGCAGGTAACATCCACGAGCAGACAAAGCAAAAGGCCTTTTTGAAGCCCCTTGCAAAAGTTGGGAAGGCAAAGGTCTCAGGTGGGTATGTCTTCCAAGATTCTTTTGTAAAGTCCTTGTTAGTTTCACTATAATAGTGCAAAAAACTAAATTATTCCTTGTTCAAATTATATAGAAAAACAAAATCTTTCCCAAAGTACCAATACTTGTGTAAATCTAAAGGAATTCAGCACTTGATCTGAGTTTATCTGTCCCAGCTATGCAATGAAGGTGAATTTCTGACCATTTGTGTGTGTAGAACATACATACACACATGCATGTATGTATATACACACACATACATGTATACATATATGTACACATACACATTTATCACTGCACATACACCTGCCATATCCCCTATTATGATCAGTGCACTCATAAGTGTGTGTGTGTGTATGTGTGTGTGTGTGTATGTGTGTGTATGTGTGTGTGTATGTGTGTGTGTATGTGTGTGTATATGTGTGTGTGTGTATGTGTGTGTGTGTGTGAGATCAAGGCTTAAACCAGCGATCATCTACAGGAACCAGAATCTGTTCCCTTTGTTTAGAGGAGGACACTGAGGCATACTTCAGATTGCCAAAGAACAGAACGATTTGGTTGCTTTTAGTTTACTTGAAATCTAGGTGATTTTGTTTTTATTAAGAGTAGAAACCTTTCCTTGCTCTCACTGATCCGTAATTTGGAGCACATGACTAAACTGGAACATCAGAACAGCTGCTTGGATTGCTAAGTGCCACAGCCCCTCTCTCTCTCCAGTAGGAAGGAAAACACATGGAATTGTATAGAATCCATAGAAATGACCCCACTGTCCGTTTCTCTTTGCTTTCCTAAACCAGATGAATGTGGGGATTAGGTAACAGAACTCCTCTTTATGTATGTATAAACACCCTTACAAAGTAATACATACTCCTGCCTTTTTGTTCTTTGCCATAAAAATAACGTTCATGGAACTTTTTGGAACTGTAACTCTAAGATAAATGACAGTATTTTTTAAAATGACAGTATTCGATTATTTGTTTCTCCAGAAAACAGGCATCATAACTTAACAAAACACACAAGATCTCAAATCAAACATAAGAAGAAAACGTTAAAAACACACCCTCCACAGCAGAACCTTCATCTTGTTGCTGACATCCAGGCAGCACCCACCAGTCCTGGGGTTTTCGGCTCCTACCCTCCAGTCCATGCTTGTGTACCCTCCCTCGGAAGCCAGAGCCTCCGAGATATAATCCCAGGCTCCCCTTTCTTATTACACTGTTTGTTTATCCCCCCCACCCCAGTAATCCACTGAACCAGTCACTGAGAGGTTAATGAAAAAACAACTTTATTCACAGAGGCTGAGATTTCGGGATAACAAAATATCGAATGACGGCCCTTCCACCACATTTTAAGTTAATCACAGTGATCCTGGATCTCAACAATAGGATCTCATCAAAGTTCTTAACGTCAAGGACCCTGAAGCTCGCCCGCCAAAGTGTTCCCACCAGCCCGGGCAGAAAGCGGTCATGGATGCACGTGTGGGTCGGTAGCACACGCCTTCAGGATGAATTCTCAGTAAGTCGGCTCTGTGCCTACTAGTTATTAAATTATTCTGCCTGTCCAAAATATCCAACATATTAACCAACAGGCTCTCCTGATGTAAAGTTTGTGTTCATTTTTATATGTCCTGGAAACTGCTCTAAAAAATTCAGAGACTGTCTCCACCTCCCTCCAAGAACTCATGGCTTATTGTGCTTTTCCCACATCAGATAAAATTAAAGTAACTTGGAGGTTCAGGAAATCAAGTTTCAGAACCACCAAAACAACCCAAAGAGAGACACCATAAGAGGTTAGATGCATTTCCCAAAAGTTTCAAGCTGTACCGGGCTGTGAAAAATCTCAATTTTCATAACCAGATCTTTGTCTCAGCCCCCTGCCTTCCCGCCCACCCCTCACACCAGACTTCCAGTCACCTCCATAGGTGTTTATTTAGCTGCAGGCTCTGGGCCTGCCTGGTTGGGGCTTAGAGGGAGGAGCCAGTTGCAGTCGGCTGGGAAGCCTCCCACCAAGCCTCCTGTTCCTTGGGGTCCAGAGAGCCGCCTCCACAGACACCAGTGGGCTCCCTTACTCTTGCTGGCACTAACCCATCTCTCCCTCTACTTGCTTTCCATGTGTTTGTTTCACCCAACTCTTTTGATTAAAAGTAGTCCTTCACTACACAATTCTGGAAAATGTAGCAACAGTCAAGGCTAGATCTTGAAAAAAAACATGGAAGTGGAAAATCTTCCGCTGTCTTAGACATCTTCGCTCCCCCTCACACACTTCCGGTGTCTCCAGAAATCTTTCGACCCCTTAAACAAAAAAGCAAAGAGATAGGAGGATGGCTATTGCTGGTAACATGCGTTGGAGAACACGTGTATTGATTAACAAGCTATCATAATGCAACAAAATGCTAAATGATATAGAGTGCACTTTCTTAATAGAAGTTGTTAATACAGATGTTTTCAGAGGGCAATCCTTACAGTAAAAAGAATCAAGCATTTTAGCCAAAGAATATAGCATGTTCCTTTTACTATCTAGAAAGGAAAAGAGAAAAATTCTCCCTGGACTTCAGGGACAAACCCAGCTGTGAACACCCATCACCCCGACGAGCTCAAAGCCAAGGCCCAGGCCACAGTGACAACCGAGCTGGTGATGGTCAGACCGTGGCTCTCAGATAGGAAGGACCACACTGCGGCCATGTATCTGCCCTCGGGTTGTCTGGGCCCTCCCGTTCCCCAGACACGCAGGGCCTGTCTGGGTAGCCAGTGGGACTGACCTAAGGTCAAGGCATTTTCCTGCTCCCACAGTAGGAGGTCTGAGATGCCCAAGTCCCAGCATGGGCAATGTCTTTTAAATCTCCGAAGCTGCTCCGGGTTCTGGGAAGGTCCGCCTTGCACGAGGCAGGGGAGTGTGCCCATCCCTGCGCAGAGGTTGCTAATACTTCCCAGGAGTCGGCAGAGGAAATCATTTTTAAAAAAACACGCGACTTCTTCCTCCAGCGGTGGGAGTCCTGGTTGCTCACAAGAAGCTCAGACCAGGGCAGGGGAAAGATCAGGCACTGTTTGCTTTACTGGAAATGAAGCACCGTGTCGGGGAGCTGCAGAGGGAAATAGGAGAGGAAAGGGATCCCGAGCTGGTAAAAGCCGCCCTGGACGTGCGGGTCGAGCATCAGGGAAGCGTTGAAAGGTGGACGGAGGCCGGAGGAGGTGGCCAGAAGCGAGGCGCCCAGACAGCCGCCGGGCCCCTGCTTGGCGCCCCCCAGGAGCTCGCCCCCTCCAGCCGGCTTTTGCCCCTGCCGTCCCGCCAGGATGCTGTCTATGCTGAAGCTCTTGGACTTGTCCGAGCTCTTCGGAGAACTGCGGGAGGCGGGGCGCGGAGGGGACCGCGAGCCATCCACCGTGCGCGCGGGCTGGCTGGCGGCCACGGCCGCTGCGCCCTGGAGCGCGTCGCCTGCGTCCCCAGAGGGCGACGCGGGCCTGGGCCAGTGGAGGGACGCCGGAGGAGAGGAGCCTTCCCGGAGGGGCGAGGGGCGCGCAGGCGCTCCCTCGTGGATGGGGGTCGCGGGGCGGGGGCGCGCTCCCCCTCTCCCCACCTCCGGCTGCGCTTCTGCGCCGCGCTCCTGCAGCTCGGCGCGGGCCCGCTTGGCCTCCGGGGCTCCGGGACCCGGCTTGGGCTTCCTCTTCCGGCGCCGGTAGTTGCCATTCTCGAACATATCCAGGCAGCGAGGGTCCAGCGTCCAGTAGCTGCCCTTGCCGGGCCGTCCTTTCTCGCGGGGCACCTTGACGAAGCAGTCGTTGAGCGAGAGGTTGTGGCGGATGCTGTTCTGCCAGCCCTGTCGGTTATCCTGGTAGAAAGGGAAGCGGTCCATGATGAACTGGTAGATGCCGTTGAGCGTGACCCTCTGCTCAGGCGCATCCTGGATCGCCATGGCTATGAGCGCGATGTAGCTGTAGGGCGGCTTCTGGGGGGGCTCCACCCGGCCCGAGGCCGCCAGAGCGGCCGCGGGGGCGAAGGCCAGAGGCAGCCCGGGTCTCTCGGGGCCGTACAGATAGAGCATGGGAGAGGCGGCCAGAGCAGGCAGCCGGGGACTGAAGAGGTGGCTCATGGCGAGTGGGAGCCCGCGCTGCGCTCCGGCGTCGCAGGCGACCCAGGCGGCTTAGGGACTGTGCCCCGCGCCGCAAGGGCCCTCCAGGGGAGCCTGCCCTGCGCCTGCCTCCCGCTCTGCCGCTCTCCCCGGCGGCTCGGGGCTCTGTCCCTTCTTCATGGCTTTAAAAATGTTAAATAATTGTTGTAAGTTTGCTATTATATGTTGACTTAGCGCTGGAAAATAAATTGTCTATGATAAACAGTCGCTGTGTTCTCAGCCCACCCACATTAATTAAAATTTCATTGCTGAAAAACTCCAAGCTTTTCCCTCCACGTGTCTTTTTGATACCAGCCAATCGGTTTCGGGGTTATTCCTTCATTTGTTTATAGAATTAGTCTGTTGATAAGTCCGCCCACCCAAGTTGAATCAAGCTGTGTTTATTTGGAAAAATTTCCGGGCACCCAATATATAAACGCACTGATCTGATGTTTGAAATATCACGTCCACCCCTTGACGCTGTAAGCACACACAGTCAGTGAGGCAGGATGTGGATCGCGGTGGCTCAGAGCGGGGGTCTGCCAGGCCAGGAAGGAGAGGTGGGGGTGGGAGGGGCGCAGGGGTGAGTTTTACCTCTGGCCTGGGGGAGCCCCGAAATCCCATGGCCTCCCACAAAAGATCTTTTCTTCTCCCAGGCTTAGTAGGAAATGTAGAGATGACACAGTCTCATAAAATGCCTTCTGAGGTCTTTTAAGAGCTCTTAGATATTTTGGCGGGGGAGAGGAGATAGATGGGAGTCTGATTAGAAGAGGATGCAGCCCTCCTTGGAGAGATCCTTGGGATGCCCCAGAGGAGCTGGGGGCAGGGGGGTGGGTGGAGGCATACTCCCTGGGGGCCTAGCCCGAAAGGGGCAAACCTCGGGGCTCCCTGGGGACCTGGGGAAGAGGACTCCAGGAGCCCAGCTTCTCCCGAAGCCAGTGGCACAGGGCACTGAGAGTTGGAGAGGGCGTGCAGTGCCGGGTCCATAGGTTAGTTGGGGAGGTTTCAAAATAAACCCTTTTGAAGAGCTGAGGGGGAGAGACTAAGGTCTTTCTGATGGGCCTGAGATTGCGAGGAGGAGCACCATAAAAGGGGAACTTGGCAGCTGGTGCAGGAGAGCTGGTATTTGTGAATGCGGGTCTCTTGCTTTATATTCTGTGCTTTCCTGTTTATAACAAGGAGGGGGTTATAACAACTTTACAAGTGCACGCAGCTGGCCCGTGATTACATTAAGCGTTTGGGAAGCCTGCTCGCTCTCCCGCCGCTCCCCTCCCCACTCACCCTGGGGTGTAAGCACTCCCCACCCGGTCTCATTTTACATTTAGCCACGTCCCGGTTTGAATCAAAAACCGTGAATGATGCTGACTTAGAAGGAGGTGTCTCCCCCTACTCCACCGCCTTGGAGGGGTGGCACGTAACGTGACTAGTTCCTGTTTTACGATCTTTGCTGAAAATATTTTAAAAGAAAGAAAGAAAAAGCTTGGGATAACTGAATTAACGTTTCTTGAGTCAACCGTGTGGATGCCAAAGAGAAGGCAGAGGAGTGAGGACGGCAGGTGAGGGTTGTAACGGCCCTCGAGGCTCCCTGGCAATTGGGAAGACACGCACTAAACCTGCGTTAATGAGGGAGGGGCCTGTCTGCTGCTGCTGTCACAGAGAGGCGACCCTATGCTGGGGACCGGCTGCCAGTGCTCAGGTCACCCCTGAACACGGAAAAGCAGGGAGAATCCCACTCTAAAATGCGGAATCCAGAAAGTAACTCATGTGTTTGGGGGTTCCGAATAGACTACAGGGGACCCGGTACGTTTGAAATACCAAAAAGGAAGTCAAGGTCAGGGTCGAAAAACCGGTTTGGGGGCAGGCGGGGCTTGAGGGACAGCCAGGTCAGGCCCTGGGACACATCCGGGCCTCCGTCCCCAGCGCTGCAATTCTAACTTATGCCCAGTGTCCCGCCTGGCCTGGTCCCGGCTTTGGTCTTGAGGATGGCCCTCTAGCCAAGAGGGGGCGGGGCGCTGCCTTCTCTCTGGATCCCTGGCTTTCCTCGGAGGCCCCGTTTCAACCCTGGGATGGAAAAACAACCTCAATGTCGGCGCTTTTGCAACGCACGGGTACCACAGTCGCCGGAGTCACCCAACCCCTCCAGACCAGAGCGCCCCCTGCAAGCTCAAGTTTGGATCCAGCCTCGGTGCCGGCTCGAACAGACCCAGAGCCAGACCCAGAGCAAGAGACAAACCGGTGTTACTGCGCGGAGCCCCCACCTCCGCTCCCGGAGCCCTTCCTGGAGTTTCCCAGGCACCCAAAGTCCAGCACGTACATCCTTGCCTTTCCGGAAAGGCGCGCCACCGCAGCGCTCCTTCTAAACTCTAAGGCAAATCGGAGCTTGAATTCGTACAATAATAAACACCGCCCAATTTGGGCATGGGCGGGACGCAGGCGGAGACACGCGCAGCTGGTGGGCAGGGCACTGATAGTAAAGAAAAAACAACCCCAGTTCTAGTCGCGGTCTGGAGAGGCGAGCCCCACGTGCTTGCAGCAGTTAGCAACCTCTCTGAGAGGTTTCAGCCGCAGAACTCCGGCAGGGCGCCCTAACCCGGCTCCGGCAGGGGGAAGAATCCTGGGCTCCCAGGTGAAGTGTGTAACTTGAGCTTAGGAGGGGACGCTGCAGGAAGGAGCCCCCGCGCTGGGGCTTATTTCCGGGGAGCGCAGGGAACAAGCACCGAGTGTCCGAGTGTGGATGCGCCCTCGTGCGGAAGCTCTGTCGGGTGAGGACCTATCGGAGGCTCGGTGGGGGGACCAGCTGAGCCTAGGAGACAGCCGGGCAGACTGGGTGACTCAGAGAGCCAGATGGAGACGCCGAAAGTTCCCTGCAGGTTCATAGGTCTTCAAATCCCAGAAAAGCACATTCATCTCTGAAGTCAGTGGGAGTGCGTCTTCCAGATTGCAGGAAAGCCCTGAAATCATGCTTCCGGAAGGACCGTGGCAGTTCCAGCTCTGGGGCCCAAGCACAAATTGGGTTCAGTGTGGGATGAGGGCAGAAAGTACCATTCCCAGCTCCCTGGCAGAAAGCCTGCTCCTTGGGCGGGCCAGGCACTAGCCTGGACCAAAGAGGCCTCACAATAAAAGTCTTCGGAGGAGAGACAGGAGTTCCTCCCATGCCCCGCTCCCATCTACCCTTCTTCTGCTTCACCGGTAAATAAAGAGCAGACATTCAAGTTAACGATGATCTGCGCCATATTCCCAAATACCTGCCTCACTTTTCTAAGTGTGAAGGTGGTTAACGAATTGTATATATATTTGAATGAACGAATGATTCTACCATACGTTTGAGAAGAGTGAGGGTGGAAGGATGCAAGGTCACCTTAGTGACAAAATGTGGGCAAGGATGATGATAATAAGGGTAACACGAATAACTAACTATGTCTCGAACACTACTGTGTGCTGGCACTGTTCTAAGTGCTTTCCTTGTATTGTTACTCCGTCCTCACCCTAAGAAACAGAAACATTTATCGTTCCCATTCTGCAGATCAGGCAACTGAGGCCAGGAAGTTAACTCACCTCAGGTCTCCTAGGAGGAAGTGTTCCAAACACAGGAAAACAATCGCATTATAATAGCTACTGTGTGTGGTTCTTGAGAACCCTGGCAGCATCTATGGAAGATGCGAGGATGGATTCACCCATTTTACAGATGGTGAAACTGAGGCCGGGCACGGAACACCGGGAAACAACGGAGGTAGTAAACGGAACAGGGATTGGAACCCACACGGTTTCCTCCAAAGGGAGATTCTCTGAGGTCTGACACCCTCAGGTGAGCACAGAAGCTGAGTGATGTGTGTCTGGAGTAATCAAAGGGTAAGGGGGCCCTCTGGAGAGAAGGGATGAGTGCCCCACCCCCAGAGCTGGGAGATTTGGGGCATTGTAAGTAGGAGACCCAGAGTCCTCACATCCTGCCAAAACCCAGGACACCCTCTCCTTCCCTACCCTCCTCTTCCACTTTGAAAGAATCTTAGAGCAGTGTCTTCTGCTTCTCTCAGGGGAAGTGAGCCATAAAGGTAATGGTTGGCCAGATGCTGATTGAAGCCCAGAGAAAAGGGGCAGTTAGGGCCCGGGCACCACCCTGCCCAAGCATATCAGCATTTAGCCTGATATATGCAGTTAATTGAGACCAAAGAATCCTTTCTCTTCTGTTATCCAGGTAAATCCTAATAGCTAACAGCCCTTACTATGGACTGGATGTTATCGAAGCACTTTCCCCACGGGCGTTGGGTTCATTAATCCTCACGATAACCCTATTTGATGATCCTGTTATTTTTTCAGTTGAGAAATGGGCTCAGAGAGCTTGAGGTAGCATGCCCCAGGTCACGGGGACCCTCAGCTGGCCTGTGCGCGGTAGGGCCCGAGTTGGTGCATGTGGATTTGGCTTAGAGAGAAAATCTCCATCGGGGAACCCATCTGGAAAAATAACATGAGGGCAGAGAGAGCGCCCAGAGGGGCTGCTGGGAAGGTAAGGTCCAGGATCAAGGGCCACCGAGCCTCCGTGAGGTCAGAACGGCCTCCCTGGCCTCCATGACCTCCCAGCCTGGGTGGGCGTATGGAGTGAGCACAAAGCCCTCCCCGGGCTCCCCAACTCCATTCCCTTAAAGGGACCATCAATGCCAGCAAGTCCATCGAGCTGTCAACCCACCCCCTTCCCCCGTTCCAGCCTTCACACACTCACAGCCCCAGCATAAAGTCCCCACGGACCTGACCCAGGAAGAAACGCAGCGCCAGAGAGGCACCTTCAAGAATCCAACTCTACCCAAGCTATGTCTGTCTGCTTCTGCTGCAGAACAGAAATGCTGCAAAAGCCAGAGAGGGAAAGGCTTGCATAAGTGGAGGCGGTGGCGTCTTCCCAGGTGCAGCAGCGGGTGCCCAGCCTTCCCAACTCCCTGAAACTTTCCACCCCCTTCCCTACATGCCTATGTCAAAAAGCAAACATTTCAAATGCCTTGGTGAGCTGAGGCCAGGCAAGAAAGAGGCAG